GCTGAACATTCGGGTTGTTGCAGATTTTTCCCAATATAACCAGTGCTTCAGTAAACACGCTTTTAGGTATTTTGCAGAAAGGTGTGAAAATATCTATAGAATAAAGACTGAAGCTCTGCACACTTTTAATTTTGATCGTATATTGCTGCAATGCCCTTTAGAAAGTTTGGTGAGATCTATTCTGCGTACCCTTGCCAATACTTTTTGAACTCTATGGCATTCTCCATTCTGATAGGTGACTTGTTGATTCCATTGCTATTTTAATTTAAATTGCTTTACTTCTTGGAGAGAATTAGGAATTTATGTCCATAAGCAGTTTGTGTTTCCCTTTATGTCAGTTGCCTATCCATATCCCTCGTACTTATACACGTCCTCCCCTGTTCTGTGGTTGTTAATATGGAAATCTTGCATTTTCAGGTTTATCAAACATTTCCTTTGTAGATCTTTCATGTCTTCCTTAGAAATAAGGCCTTTCCCATGACAAGATATGAAAACACACTTTCCCATATTTTATCCTATACTTCTCTTTTTATTTTTTTTATAAACTTTAAATAATTGATTTTATTTTTTTTAAACCAGTGACCCACCTCCTAAATTGTGGCGCCCTGGGTCCAAGTGGGCCAAGAGAAATGAAGACAGGCTCTAGCATTTCACTGCTTTTCAGAGGAAAGCAGGATCCCTCCTTTCTGGTCCCAACAGGATCAGCAGTGAGAAGTTTCCTGGAGAGAGGGCTTGGGTCTGCAGCAGACTCAGGATATGCCGATTGTTCCACCACCCTCCTCCCACTCCTCCTTCCCACCACCTCTGCTGAGGCTTTCTCCTGGGGAGTTATTCACGCCTTGCATTTTAGAGAGTCTTTATTTGTTGGCTGGTTTGTGAGAAACAGACTTCATCAGTGGTAGGAATCACTTGAGACGGAGTCTTGACAAAAATATGGTGTGGATGGCCAGAGGCTGATGGGCCTTGGGATTAAGGCTGAGCACCCTGGCTGGGGTGACTCAAATGTCTGCGGATGACTGGGGAGGTAGGCCCTTGCAATGGGAAGAGATAGTGCCTGGAGACTGCAGGGCTCTAGGACTCAGTATTCGCCTCTAAGAAAGCAGCAAGGCTGGTCCAGGAAAACTGAATCTGACCTTGGAAGTAGGACTGGAAGATTCAGAGGAGGCACCTGTGGGCTTTGCCATGAATTCATGGAGAACAGGAGGCTGTTGGGGTGGGTGGTTCCAGGGTCACTCTGGGAAGCCATGGAAATCAGCACCAGCTTCCAGATTCACCTCCGACCAGCCCTGAATCCCAAGCAATTCCCAGATCCTTGAGCCCTGCTTCCAACTTCACCTTAAAACCACCTGCAGACCAACTTTTGCACGGAAACACCATTCCGTCCTCTAGAGAACCAAAGGCTCTTTTATATTTGATGAGAAGGCAATTGTCGTGGCAAAGAGCAAGTCTTCCTTCCATTTCGGGAATGAGGGTAGAACTGTACTTTAGGGTCAGACCATCTTTTAGGGGCGTTGTAAGGTTACTGAGGGCTCAATGTGTATAGAAGGTGCTCAGCAACTGGTGTCTGATCATTTTGGAGTGGCTGGCATGCAAACAAGTGCTGTATAATAAAATGTAGTGAAGTGCCATTACAGAGAGATGGGGAAAGTTCTAGGGTTTTTTTAATGCTTTTTGAGGGGTAAGTGGAGATTGGCCAGAGGGGCACAGGTTTTGAAGGATGAATGGGAGTTTGGCCTGTGAGAAAGAGAAGAGAAAGAGTATCCTGGGTGAGGTGACATCACAGGCAGACAGGTAAGTTTGTAGGAAGAACAGAGAGTGTGCGAGTGTTTTGTGGGACATGGTGGGAGGTGAGAGGAAACCCAAGCCTGGGTGCCAAACTAGGGCCACAGGCCACTGCGGTTTCAGGTGGAATTGTGACAGTATACAGGGAAGAGGGGACCAAGACAACATGATGTCCCCAGGCACCATGGCTCCTCCAAAAGTTCTGCTGTGCCAGAAAATTAGAGAGGAAGACAAACCATAAGAGACCCCTAACTCTGGGAAACAAATGAAGGGTTACAGAAGGGGAGATGGGTAGCAAGATGGGGTAACTGGATGACGAGCACTAAGGAGGGCGTGTGATGGGATGAGCACTGGGTGTTATATGTTGGCAAATTGAATTTAAATAAAATATTTTTAAAAAATTGTTTCAAAACCTGCCCTATCCCTGTCCCTTCCTATGCTTCCTGCCATCCGCAAAACAGAACCATGCTTAAGAGCAGAGACTCTTGCTGGACTCAAACTGAGACCTGTCATTGTAGCTGTCTGACTTTTGGCAAGATGCTAAACCCTCTCTCTGCCCTGAATTCGGTTATCCATAAAGTGACAATATGAATAGTGCCCTGAAACAGCTTGTTGGGAACCCGAAATGGGCTAATCCAGGGACAAACCATGGAACGCAAAAGAGGAGCTGCAATTCTCCTGGCGGACATTGAGAAGCCCCCTGAGCACATGATGCTACAATGGAGAGTGAGCCTCTGCCCCGGAGAAGCTCACAGACCTGTGGGTGATGCAGACCCGGGCCTGACACTTGTCATGTAAAATTCCTACAAAGCGTGGGGAGGAGGGACGAATCAAAGGACACTCCCCATGGAAAGTGATCTGACCTGATTCTTGAAGGAAGGGGTAGTCTTTATCAAGCCTGAAAGAGGGTATCCTGAGGCCAAGTCCTTTCTGGATCTTTCTGGATCTTTCCATTATCTCCCAGAAGGCGGGGAAGGCTGAGCGTTCACGACGGGCATCTCTCCTAATCCAGATGCTTCCCCTGCCTCAACTGGCATTTAAGTAATGCAGCTTTGGTGGGAGGTGGGATGGGTGGTAGGAACTTCCGGCCTCTCCGTACCCCCTGCATGCTGGTGCCACCTCATAATGATCTGGGTTGGCTCAAAAGCAGGAAACTTGGTTCAAAATGTATGAGTTCATTTTTATGTTCTACTGAGAAAATTTATTCAGTGTGATGCTCAGTAGCGAGTGCCGTAAAACACCTTAATCCCTGGTTGAAGAAAGGTAATACCTTGACAGATGTGCGCCTCCTACTTTCCTCCCGGCCATGTTTCAACAACAAACCTTTATTTCTGCTTCTCGGCTGTAGCAGGGAAGGGAAAAAAAATGAGAAGAGCAATAAAGCAGTCAGAAATCTCAGGAGCCAGGCGGCAATGCAATCGTAATGACAGATTTTTAATGTGGCGGGAGAGATTGACAGGGAAATGTCTTCAGAGCAAACGCTCGCCAGATGGAATGCAAACGGTTTATTGGAGAAGAGAGGTACACTGAACCGAGGAGAGAGCGGGTATAAGGTGGTCTTTCTGGCTGCTGCAAGTAAACACACCAGAGAGAGGGACAGGGAGAGGAGAGAAGACAATAAATAAATAAATACGGATCAAGAGGGGGAGCAAGGCATCGGGATAGACCCCGGATATGCCTCGCAGAAAGGGATTGGTGTGTCATCAAATTGCAGCTGAGCCAAAGGCCCCCCGAAGCCCAGGCCGGGGGAGGGCCGCATCTGGAAGCAGGGAGCCCTGGATTCAGGGCCAGGGCTGCTTAAACTCATGAAGTTCTACTGAATCTTGAGGCTCAGTTTTTCTGGAACTCTGAGCCCTTCCAATGATGGGGATGCTGATTTGGGTTCTATGAACATTTTCAGCATCTATTGGGTGCCTGGTCCTGGATCAGGCCCTGTAGATGTAAGGGGAAGGCAGCTCTATTCTTAAAGGAGTCCAAAGAAATGCATGTGTATAGCATGGACTATCTGATCTCTGTAAAAAGAGTAATTATTTATTATTAAAATATCAAGTGTGAGTGTATAAATATGTGTTTACCTATCCATCCATTTATTTGTCCATACTATCCATCCATCTACCTATCCATCCATCCCTTTTCCTTCCTTCTGCGAGTTTCCAGTATATGGCTCATAATTCATTTAAAGTAGTTAAAAATAGCAGCGTTCTCCAATGGACAAATCAACAAAACCATATGATACCACTTAAAATAGGAAGAGTGGGGAAACGATTTTAGACAGTTTTGCAAGATAATCAAAGATTAATAATATGTTTGAGTCCAAAAAGATAGTATTATATGCTGGGGCCAACTTTAAAAAAAAAAAAATAGAGATCCCTGGGTGGCTTAGCGGTTCAGCGCCTGCCTTCCGCCCAGGGCGTGATCCCGGAGTCCCGGGATCGAGTCCCATATCGGGCTCCCTGCATGGAGCCTGCTTCTCCCTCTGCCTCTCTCTCTCTCTCTCTCTCTGTGTGTGTGTGTGTTTATCATGAATAAACAAATATTATTTAAAAAAATATAGAAGTTGTGATATGAAAAATAAATGACTAAGGCAAAACATAAAATTAATCAATAAGGCGTCCCGAAGAGCATGTCAGTGATGCCAATGATCAGCAGTCCTGGCTCAGGTTTAGGGATTCCAATGTTGTCATGAACCAGCTCTCACATTGAACAAACCACTTTTCTTTTCTGGCATCAGTTTCCCCAGCACGTAAAATCAGGTATGGTATATTGAATAGAGACACCACAATTTACAGATGACGCGATTCCCCACATCCTTTTGTTGCTAACATTTTAGGGCGCTGAGTGCAGGTTTCTGCCAGTGGATATTCTCGAGGCTAACAGTAACTTGAAAACAAAGCGATGGCATGACGTGCACATGCGGAATGTGCTTTTATAGCATATAATACAATAACAATACTTTTCTTAAATAATCCATGACAGATGAATTCATCTTCTCTTTAGAAAAATCTAATCAAATGTTAAGACGCCTCTTTCCAGCACCAAGAGCTACAACCCTCCTTGTCTTCGGAAACAAACAAATGAAACTTCGTGTTCCCAGGGATGGCGAGTCAAGTTGAAACCTGTTGTCACAGCCCTGCGGAAAATGTAGATCCGTAAGATTTCATGCCAGACGTTGGGTGCCAGACATCTTGCAACGGAGAGAGGAGAGGGGAGGGCAAGAAACCTAGTGGTTAAATGGGAGGACGGAATGGGAGAAAATATGATTGTACTCCTAGCCACCCAGACGGCATTCTTCTCTGACACATTTGTGATATGGATCTCAGCCCAGAGGAAAGTCCAGGATGAGAAGCCAGGCACGGTGAGCCCCCTGGGGTAGAAGCGTCAGGACTAGCGTGGTGCAAAGGGTGTTCTTAATCACTTCGCGTACGACTCTATTTTCCAGCTCCATAGAGTGTTGGGGGGGTTGCTTTAGCGTCCGAGGAAAAATAGAAATAACCAAATCAGCATGCCACAGAAAGTTGTATCTGTGCCGTGTGCATCTGGCATGTTTTCTATTCACGTTTCATCTTGCCCGGTCTTATGGTGTCCTTGGAAATAGCCTGAAGCCTCTACTGATCTGTTCAGCCCAGTGCTTTTTTTCACTTTTGTCTTAAAACAAATGTCCAGATAAACAAATGCTTTGGTTTTCATAAGCTACTGTTCTTTGGAGCTCCCACATTGTCCCGTTCAAATTTACTTCTTAAAAAAATTAAAATCCTGTTTGGCATGAGGATGTAGCTGAGTCAGGCCTTTTTTGGTTCAAGAACCGAACAAGGTGAAAGGTTTAGAAGACAGGTAAAACAGACAGCTGGAGTTTTGGAATATATACAGTGGGTTTCTTGGGGTTCATTAAAAAGCAGAAGCAAAAAGCAAAAAAAGAGGAGGAGCAGCATAATAACTTCTCTATTTGCTTTTGTACCATGTCTCCAAATTTCTGACAAGAGTTTTGAGTTCAAAACCTATGCTAAAAAGCCTTTCCCCATTCTTTCCCACAAGAAAGTACCGTGACTTAGTGTCCATGGTTTGTTTAGGCTCTGCTCCATTTCTGAGATGTGACTGTAGGTTAGCTATTTGGGTTATCAGAGTCTTGATGTGCTCTCCTAGAAACCGGGCACAGCATTGAGGTATCATGATCCATGAGAAGATCACAGGCAAGGGGCATATGGATGGGCTCTGGGAACCACAATGTGCCCTGAGTGACATCCTAATAATTATCCTAAACAATTACCCTAATATCATTGACAAGGAAGAGGACATTCTGTAACTTGCTGCTTTCCAGGTAACTCAAATGACTAATTTCTACAACACCATCTTGCTCCATACAGGGCTTGAATAATTTTCATTTGGAAATAAACTACCTCAGTCGTGGAAAAAGTTCCTACAGCCTGCAGGCTCTCATCTTCCCTCTGCCAGCATGCGGGACCCAGGAGCTCCAACTATTCTAAGGGGATGAAGCAAGAGTTTACTCAACTTTGTCCTGCTTTTGTTTAGAAGTAGACTGTCTCGTGGAATGGATAATAATTTTGAGCAGTAGTTTTTTCTACTCCTGGTGTTCTCCATCATCTTGAGACAGTGACGCTGTAAAGTGAAGTCAGTATGGGTTGAACAGGGCTCAGGTCCTGCTCTACCTCCTAGGGCAAGTCCCTAGCCCGTGGAGACTTCAATTTCCTTCACTGTTGCTGGAGATCATTTCCAAGGTCCTCTCCTTCCAGAGCCTAGGACCGAACTCTTCTTTGTCAGGAGAAACAAAATTTAGAAAACAAGGCGGCACTCATTTTATTTTAATGCTCCTCATTGTTAAGAAATCAAATCTTGAGGCTGCCACTATGGAGAGAGCAACTGATTTTTTTTAAAAATTTTTATCCACTTATGATAGTCACAGAGAGAGAGAGGGAGAGAGACAGAGACATAGGCAGAGGGAGAAGCGGCTCCATGCACCGGGAGCCAGACGTGGGACTCGATCCCGGGTCTCCAGGATCACGCCCTGGGCCAAAGGCAGGCGCCAAACCGCTGCGCCACCCAGGGATCCCGCAACTGATTTTTTAATGTAATCAATAGCTTGAGCATGAACCTGCCCTGGGTATCAGCAGTCTTGGCTTTAAATTCTAGTTTGCTTGGTTGTTGTTGTTCATTTCTACACACGCAGAAAATTTAGGAAAAAATATCTGGAAATATTTACTGTCTAGAAATTGGTGTATATCCTTCTAAAATTTTAGAAATGCATATGTGTGAATAATTTTTCTTATTTATACAAATGGCTTCACACTGCGTGCCCTGTCATATAACCATTTTCACTTCTTATAACCTGTTTTTCCCCCCGCATCATTAAATACACTTCTGCAGCATAATGTTTAATTATACATTTCTGATCTTGCCAATTAGAATGTAAGCTCTGTGGGCACAGAGATTCGTCACCTTGTACACTGTCATATCCTCTGGGTTCAGAACAGTGCCTGGAACACAGCAGACTCCAGAAAAGTAACTTGAATAAATGAACTCACAATAGTCCATCTTGTTCCTTTACCATAGCTCGTTCACTTTGGGTCTCCTTGAAGACCCATGAGAATGGGACCTGGTCTACCATATTCATTGCAACGGCCACAGAAGTTGGACTAAGGCCTGGCACTGAGTAATTTCTCAGTAAATGCTATTCAGTGAAGCCCCCAGAACTGGACTCTGTCGCTTCCATTATTTTACCATTATAAATAATAACCCGGAGAGCCTAGGGGGCCTCAGTCAGTTAAGCGTCTGCCTTCAGCTCAGGCCATGATCTCAGGGTCCTGGGATTGAGTCCCATATCTGGCTCCCCGCTCAGCCGGGAGCCTTCTTCTCCCTCTCCATGACCCCTTCCCTCTGCTGGTATTCTCTGTCTCTGTCTCTCTCTCAAATAAATAAATAAATAAATAAAATCTTTGAAAACATAAACAACAATGCGATGAACATCTTTGTGTTAAAAATTTGTTAATATCCCTGATTTTTAAAGGATAAATTCCAGACCAATATAATTGGTGGGTCAATGGGTAGGCACATGGCAAGCTTTTGAGACACACTGAAATTTGTCAAAAGTAATGTTTGTTTATTTGTTTTTGCCGATCTTCATTCCACCAACATTATAGAAAACACCTCTGTCCCTGGAGCCTCAGCCCCAGAGAAGTCTGTTTTTCGAGCCTTATTAATTTGATACATGTAAAATTGTATCTCCTTGATGTCACCTCACATTTCTTTGACTCTAAGGAAATTTAATATTTTCATATGTTATTTTAGTGTTCCTTTTTTCATTTGTTTATTTTTACTTGGATGTTTTATTTTCTTGTTAAATAAAATACGTGAAGCTTTTAGGATGACTTGGCAAATAGTAAGCCTTGTTCACCTTATTATTATAGCTACTATTTTATTTTATTTTTCCTTTCTCCTTTTTACTGATTTATGAGAATTTAATATTATGTGTCATATAAGCATATTTGTATATTATTGGTTGACACATATGATAAAAATATTTTGTCCATTTATTTTATTTATTTCACAAATATTGTATTTTTATAGTGCCACATCTACCTAGTGTTTTTTTTTTCTTCCTCTGCTTTTGCAACTAATTTGTCTTTTGAACTGTGTGGGCAACGTTTAATATACTTTTCAGACACATGAGATATTTATAGGATGGTTTGAGTTTCTTAAAAAAATGCTGGTAGGCTAAATTATATTACTTTTTAAAAATCCTATTTTGTTTGTGATCTACAATTTTCAGAGCAGTTTAATATATGTTTCTTCTGAGTCTTGCGGTGACCCTTACAGTGGTGGATAAAACATTAATACGTCCGTTGTTACTGATGAGGTAAGTGAGCTTTGGGCACGCAGGGGGCAGCATGTAAAGCCAATGAGCGAGGACTGGTGATATTCTGAATGTCATTCCAGGCTTCTGTACATTTTGGCTTTTTCTTAAGAAACCTGAGAAAACTGATGATGATGGGTGGGGGAGGAAGGAGGAATGTAACTCTAGGGCTTTATGGTAGCATTTCGGTGATCTCTGCTCACCTTACGTGTCCTCCATCCACAGCCCAGGAGGACAAGTAAGATAATGAAAGTTTCCTGAGTGTCTGTTATGGGCCAGGTGCTTCCACATGCACAATCTTAGCTAATCCCCACCACAAACCTAGGCAGTTAGAGTTATAATTCCAGGTGTCTCTTTTTCCTTTATAAAGGACACAAATGTCAGACTCCCAGCCCGCCAACCTGAGTGCCCCAGGACACACCAAAAAACAGCAGCAGAGCCAGGATTTCTGCCCAGAGAACGTTTGTCCAAGGCCTCAGGCTCGTCCCCATTCACTCCACAGCATTAAGTCTGACAAAACCAGCCCCTGACTTTGAGTGGCAAATTATAGCCTGGTTGTATAATAGCTCTCGATCTTATTTATTCACTTTTTTTTTAATTCCTAAAAAATCACGGCGAGTACATCAGCATGGCCCCCTGCCCCCCGCACTGTGGAAGTTTGATAATGTATGTCCTAACCGCTTAATTGATTGATTACCTCACTGCAGCTTCCTGAGGTACGGAATTTATCTCTAATAGCCAGAGTCAGGCTCTGCAGGCAACCGTGGGGGGGACCGGGGTCCCTTGGTGTCGATTTGCTCTTAACTGGAAAGTCATTACCACTTAATACATGTAGATTGTGTTGAAAGAAAATTATGTGTAATGAAATGAGGGAAAAATTAGTGGAGTGTTATGGGCGAAAGCAGATGTTAGGGAGGAATTATGCTAGCAGAGATAATCACCTTCGTTGGTATTGTGTGTGCTGGGGTGTTAACTGAGGAGGAGGCGGGGATAGAGCCAAATGAATGCCCTGATCGGCACAGATTCGCCCCTCAGAACCTGCAGCCAGGGGTGAACCCCCAGGACTAGGCGGCTGGGCCTCTGGAGCTCTGCTCACCCATACCTGGGGCCCTTTCTCCCCACTGTCTCCTCTTGGGATGTGGACGCAGGATGTCTCCCCGAGGGTCTGGTGAGACTTGGAGTGGAGCAGCCCAGGGAGAGGCCTCCTGCCAACCAAGGCTTCCAGGGAAAATCATGGAGCTCTAATTCTTACAGCATTCATTGAATCTGGGGAAAAGTAAAACAGAACAGTACCCCCACACTAAAAAAGAGAGAGAGAGAGAAACCTGCCACCACCCTAAACTAAAAAAATTAAAAAAAATAAATAAAGCTTAGCCTGTAAGAGGGTAAGGCTGTTGGAGCTTTTTGCAAACAGTCTTATCTCAGATGGAGGCATTTAAGAGCCTGTGCCTGTGTGTGAAGCCAGGGGGAATAAAACCTCATTGCTTTTA